TTTAGGTTTGTGTGATTTGATTGTTGGGCAAGGGTACTCCACGGGCAATGCAAGATCATTCCTATTTATTCACTTACTGTATGGTTGCACCACCATAGTGATTGATGAGTGAGTTCAGATGCCAACAACCTAATCTGTCCAGTGTACGGTTCTCTGTCATCCTTGCATCTAATGCTTCCAGTCAGTGATAGGTTTCCCTGAATCAATGATCTATTTAGGAGTTCAAACTAATCTCCCCAATTATATCACTGTTCCACATACGTCAGCTAGAATTTGTACAATTAGAACTATTTGAATAGGTTTTTTTGTGTGTGTGTGTGCAAATTGTTGAACTCTTTACTTGGTATAGAGTTAGTCTTCTGAGTATAAAGTTAATTGAAAATGGATCTTAGTGGAGAAAGAGATTAGGAATGGGAGAGAGAGGAGAGGTGGGAGTGTGGTTGGGAGGGTGAGTATGGTGGGAAGAATCACTATATTCCTAAAGTTGTACTTATGAAGTGCATGAAGTTTGTATCCCATAAATAAAAGGTTTCTTTGTGGGAGGGAAGAACTATTTGATCACTCTGAAATACAGGTTAAACAGCAAGTTAAGCTCTCTCTTTAGGTTCAGTAACATTTTCTACATCGGTTTGAAAAGAGTTGTTTGTGCTGCTGAAGCAGAATTCCGTAAGCTAGGTGATTTACGAAGAGCATACGTTTATCTCTCACACTGCTGGAGGCTGGCGAGTCTAGCGCCAAGGTGTCAGGAGACTCAGTTGTGTGGCGAGGCTGCTTCATCCTTTGATGACGCCTTGTTGGTGCACCCTCTGGAGGGCAGGAACATGGTGCCCTCCTGTGGGGAAAGGGCATGCCAGTCTCTCTTATAAAAGGGCAGTAAGTCCATTCTTACTGAGAAGAGCCCTCATGGCCTAACTACTCTTAAAGGCCCCACCTCTTAATACCACTACATTGGTCATTAAGTGTCAACACTTAATTTTGAAGGGGACATAGTCAAACCAGAGTGATAGTCCCAAATAAACAGTGCTTTTTCAAGCCCTGGAAATGCCAAGGCTGTTACCTGTAACGTGACTGGTAATTAGAAACGCAGAAGAACCTCACCAAGTCCAACAGAGGCCCTGCCATTAGGTATTTCTCCTTTGTGTCCTTTATCCACTTTCCTGATTCGCAGCAAGATCTCGGCACTTGTGCACTTGGGTTAAAGCTAGTGCATGCCCGTCTTTGCTCTCCCTGCTTGTTTAAGCTCATTCCTTCCTGTGCACCAAAGGCATTTTCATCATCCGAGGCCCAGAGTCCTGCAGCATGTGATTGCTAGCATTGTTCTGTGAGAAGAAAATTTATAACCCTCTGATAAGTAGAATGGCTTTTGGAATGACTTCATTATTCTATACTTTGCTTGTGTTTTTCTGTGGAAGCGTAGTTTCTTCTGAATCTTGGAGTTACCTCTGAGTATCTGGTTCCTAGGTCTGGTTGAAACAGTTGTGTAACCCTTTTTGTATCAAATCCTTCTTTGCTGTCCTCACTGCCACCATTTTATCTCCAGACTCCTTCACTTCTAGGGTCTCTTCTCCAGGTTTCTGTGTGTCTCCTTCCAGTGAAACATCCTCAGCCCCCTTTGGTAGTGCCTACCTGCCTTTCGAAGGGGAGGCCCAAACGACCTAGCTTTGACTTTTGCCTCCACACAGCCTGATCTTAGTGCCCCTCCTCTCCTGCTCTTCTCTGCTCACTGGCCCTTTGCATTCTGTCTCCTGTACGATTGCCTGAGCCACTCGTCCCTTCCCATGCCCCACATGCGTGTGTCAAGGCCCCATGATCTCTGATCTGAGCCACCCCAAGCTCTGCGGAAACCGTCATCACTGCAGTCCCAGCTGTCCCCGGGGTACCACTGCCTGCCCCTCCGCATGGCCAGTCTCGTGCTCCTCTCTCTGTCAACATTTCATTTGCCTCATCTCTGCGAATGCTAACCAAGGTCAGAGAGCCACCGTGAACCCCGCTTCCAGCCCTGGGCCAGCACGTGGCACCTTGTCAGTGCACATGTGCCTCACCTCCTCACTCAGACTCAGTCCTCCAACTCTGCAGGCTCTCCTGGCTCCTCCGGTTCAGGCTCTGAGCCCACCCTTGGTTTCTGACAGGCCTGCTCCTGAAGACTGCTTGCAGGCCTTCCCCTCTGCTCACCACTGCCACACCTGGTAAAGTGCATGAAAGCTCACGCCTTCGGTGGAGGACCTCTTCCTGCAGGAGTGAGCCTCACCAGTTTTCCTTGGGGTACTGTTCCAGCCAGCAGTCATGGTTCTGACTCCATATGTCAGCTGAGAGGCCTGCGGAAATAAACCAGGCCTCCAGTCAGCACCCCTGCCAGAGCTGTGAGAGCACTCCATAAATATTGATGTGGAAGGCCTCTCGCAGACACTTCCTCTTCATCCTCTCCTTATTAAACCCTACTTCATTTTTCTCATATCTGTAAGTGACCAGGGCAGGGACCCGTCACAGCATAATTACGCACCACTTTCTGTGCCATCATAGAACCGAAGATTTTCTTTCCCTCTGCTAACAGACATGACAGACATCAAGTGAGTGGAGTGATTATTAGTATAAAATTACTTTTTGGCCTTTAAATCTAATTATGCCACATTCATCGTAATAAAATAAAATCCCCAATCCAGGTGTGTTTTTCAAGGAAAGTGTCCAGGCCAATTACCTTCTGAAAATAGCTTCCTGCACTGAAGCCTTTTGTCTGGGGGTCTTAAAACTTTTCCACACAAGTGGATAATGAAGTTCATTTTGTCGGGGGTGAGGGGTGAAATGACTGACCTCTCGGCACACCCAGGAAGTGAAGAGAACTCGAGGACCCAGGTGTGTCTCTTGTTTTTCTTCCTTCCCCTTCCCTTTCAGTTCCTTAAAAGAGGCCTGGCCAACCTTCTATTGATTTCAATATTTTCCTCCTAGATACTGCTTTCCACTTTCCTAAGAGCATGAATGAAAAGAGTTTCTGTATCACATTTCATGGGGGAAAGAGTCAAGGTTCCAGGGGCAGGGCAGGGTTTTCAGATGTGTGCACACTTACCAGAGATCATTCCTGTCTCCCCTGTTAAATGGACTTCGCTTCCAGGATACAGCAGAGCTTAGATGTCTGTTCCATGGGTTCATAGGTAGAGGGCAGTTAGAACAGTGCCAGGCACATGGCAAGCCCAGTGTCAGTGCTGACTCCTAGGGTTCTCTCATTGCTATCTGTGGGCAGGCCTCCATAGTTCTGGAGAATCTGCGACTGGAGTGTTCACTTGCTTGTGTGGTGTCACAGTGTGGGTGCATTTCCCTCCTCTGCCCCCAGCAAAACCTTCTGACTCTTTAGGAACCACTGTAGTCCCCTTACGCTCCTGTAGAAAGCCTTTTCCAGTCCAGCTGCCAGTCACCTCTGTCTCCAATCCTCCAGTGTCATTTTCTCAGTTCACTTCAACAGACTTGAACTGAATGTCTGCATTTACAGCGTGTGTGCTATGGGTTCTGAATGGTGTTCCATCCTGTCATACTGCTTTGACCTTTGCCTGAATGTTTGTTTCATATCTAATGGGATTACTGGGCCTTGAGGGAAAAGCTCCTGTATTTACAGTGCGGTATTTCTCCCGGCATCAGATACGCTATTGTGTAATATAGGATCCCAACTGAGAGTAGTTCAACTTAGAATATTTTTGACTTTATAATTCTGTGAAAGTGATAGCCATCCACTAGAAGCTCTACCTTAGGTTTTAGCTGGCAGTATGTGCTCTGATCTCTCATAATGCTGGATGCAAGCTGCAGCTCCCACTCAGCCACGTGATCACAAGGTTAAACCACTCAGACCCTACAGTAGACCATATTGCTAACCCAAGATGTATGGTTGGTGAGGTGTAGCAAATGTATTTTCAATTTAGTGTGTTTTCAACTTAGGATGGATTAATTAGGACATCTATGCATTGTAAGTTGAACAGCATCTATTGGAGAGGTTTTAAAAAGTTCATGGAAAATGAGATTAAAAAGGTAAATTTATTTTTCTGCAGAAGTATTTGAAATCCATGCATATAAGGGATCTTTAAAAAGTTCATAGAAAATACATGTTATGAAAACTATGCAATTTCAGTTTTTCTCGCATCAAAATAAACTTCTAGTTCCATTTTTCTACAAACTTCAGGACCTTTGGATGACCTTAGTATTCTCTAATAATAAAGGGCCCAGGGCCTAGGACAAATTGCATACATGTTATTGAATCCAATATAGTAAATTCCTATTGTAATGAGTTAAAGTAATTTAACTTTTCATTGGGATTCCACCGTAGCCCTAAGTCCTCATTCTTTGGTCCCTCCAGTGTCCTACTTTGTTTTGTTCTGTTCTTAGCATACACTGAGTTCCTCCTAAATATGGAACATCATGGAGAACACAGACAGTGTACCTTAATAAAAAAACATTATAATCCAGTGAGATGATAAAAGAAAGTAAAAGTGCTTCTAAGACAGGCAGCTTGATATACTCTACGACTGAAAATCAGTTGAGAATCTTTGCAGTTCAAAGCTTGGGAGGGCGTGGTGGTATCTAGTTGGAGGATCATGAAGACTTTACCACTTTTTTTCAACAAATGTGTGTTGAGAGAGAATATTTTGTTCCAGGGCTGAACTGATGCTGAAGCTTCCTATAAGATCTTGCAGGATGGGATTATTCCTGATGTTTCCTCCTCCTCTGCACCAAATATAAAGGCAGAGACCCAAACTTTTGTTCTTGTCTCTAGTATTTGTTGGAAAGGCATTAAGTCCTGTCTTTTCCCCCCTAGTGCAAAAGACTTACTGGGAAACTGGAGACTGATAATGTGTTAATTCCCCTCAGCATTGAGTTCTCCAGCATTGCGAAGCTAATGTCCCTTCAGTGGCTCATTAACATTCATAGCCAGTGTGTGCTCCCACTTTATAGTCTCCTGATGAAATGCTGACTGCAAAGGTGAGAGCTACTGACGCTATTTGCCATTTGCTTTCTTCCAGGATTTTTTTCCCAGGAAGCCATCCTGTCAGAGGCGTCCAAGTAATGAAAGTTGGCAAACTGCAGTTACATCAAGGCATGTTTCCCCAAGCCATGAAGAATCTGAGACTGGTGAGTGTGCCAAAATCTCATGGAGTTCTGCTTGGTAGACCTTTTTTCTGGTGCTGTTGGGCCTTTTCTTGGTGACTGTTTTTTTTTTTTTTTTTTTAAGCCATTCTGAGTTTTGCAATGTGTAACAAGCATGTGTGCACACACATGGCCCAGGCATGCTGATAAATGCTTAACAACAGCTCTGAAAAAAACCCTGATTTGTGATATTTGCCGATTTCTGTGGTATCAATATACCCACCATGATTGATATTAAAACTACCAATGTAAAATCAACCAGCTCTGAATAATCGTGATAATTGTAACAATTACTCTTGCAAATTGGTACTAGCCAGTCTCAGAAAAGCACTGCACCTGTATTCTGCCCACAATGAACAAATTGCCATTCTCCATGCCTCCCACCCATTGCCCACAGAGCACAGTCCATACTCCTTGGCTTGTTAGGCAAGACCCTTGACCATCTGCAATCCACCCAGCAACCTCCAGACTCTCCCCACCTCCCCACCTCCCTCCTTTCTTCTCCACACTGTGCTGTTCACCATTGCCCTGTTTACCTGAACTGCTCACTCCCAAGTATTTACAAAGCTATTTCCTCTGCCTTCAATGCCCTCCCCTCCACCACACCCTAGCCCTGCCAGAATTCTGCTGATCCATTAAAGCCTAGTCATTTTCCCCTGTGCTCCTATAACTCTGCTCATCCTGCCACACCCATAGTTGGCTGGCCTGATGACCCACCCACTCCAGCATCCCGAGGAGACTTCGTGGTTGTAACCAGCTCAGTGTCATACAAAGCAGATGGAATTTAGGAGGCATTCATTGTTGGAAGGGAAGGACTTGAGGGAGGAAGGAGGTAGGGGATGAGACAGGAGATAAATTCTTAGCAGTGAATGTCAAGAGACCAAATGGGAGACCTGAGTCAGTGTTTGAATGCCTCATTTAAGGGTGATACTTATTTCCCCCTCTTAGCGAGTCTGTCCTGGCCTTCCCACCCTAGCAGAATTCCCTCTCCATGTCCATGGCTCTGGAAGAGGAGTGTTCATGTGCTCATTTGGCCCAGGCACTGTGGAGGGTGGTGGTTTGGGTGGGGGGTGTCCTACAGCAGTTGCTGTTTTCATGGAGTCCTCTGGGCCATAGCGCCTTTCTGCAGAAGAGCTCCAGGGCAGGACTGGACCCTGTCTCGGGGTTGCTTGGGAAGTATCCAGGAGCTGGCTGGATGATCCCATAACGTGGGCAGCTACTCATATCTAGATAAGAGAAATGAAAAATGCCTGAAAGACTCTTAGGGATAAGATTCCCTAATGCTAATTTTTGTTGAAATCCAGCTCCGGTGCCTTTTCCTAATCTCTAATTGAAATCAGCCCACGGTCAACAGGATTTCCTCAAGGCTCTCAGCTCTTCCTGTCCTTTTTAGTTTATCTGCATCGCTACCCACACCAGTGGAAGAACACCTCACCCTCTTGCAGTCTCAGGAAGAGCTTGCCTTTTTCTGGTCTGGCTGGTACTTGTCAGCCTGTCAGATCACTAGGAAAAAAATACTTGTTGAAGGCTCCCTACATAATTTTGACAGAAAAATAATGTCAAGGAAATTTCTTAAGTATAGTGATGTTCACTACCCAGGGTCATCTGCAAACAAGTGTTTCATAGGTGATCAAACCAATCCTTTATATGAGACTGGAAACTGTGACTTCTGCTAGTACATGCATAATCTTTCTTGCTCCTCAGGACAGATGGCAATGATACAAGTCTGTGGGACAGGCATTTTTAGTCCTCTTTGAGAAATGAAGGGCCTGAGGCTTGGAGACATTTAAGAGTTGTCTAAAGGGCACAGTGAGGCAGAGCCAGGTAGAGTTTGTTCAGTTTAGTTCACAACATTTCAAGGACATGCTTCTGTTACTCTGAATAAGACCCAGTACTGTCCTTACAACTTAATGGATGAGACAGATATGTGAACAAGTCAGTATAGAACCCATTCTTTTCTTCTGTACTTGATAAGTTGTTCCAGTAAGACTCACTGTCTAGAACTCCCGTCAGATCTGGCTGGATTCCTGATGCCAGTTCAGAGGAATATGTACAAGAGAAATCAGAGAAGACTTGGGTCTCTAATGTTTTTTGTGGAGGTGTTAGTCATTGCCATTATGTACATAACTCCTTTTTTTTTTTAAAAGATTTATTTATTGATTTGAAATTCAGTATAAGGGGTGGGAGAAAAAGATCTTCCATCTCCTGATTCACTCCCCAGATGGCCACAATGGCCAGGACTGGGCCAAGCTAAAGCCAGGAGCTTCATCCAGGTCTCCCACATGGGTGCCAGGGACCCAAACATTAGGGTCATCTTCTGCCACTTTTCCTAGGCCATTATCAAAGTGTCGGATTGGAAGTAGAGCAACCAGGACACGAACCAGTACCCATATGGGATGTCAGCATCATAGGCAGCAGCTTTACCAGCTGTGTCACAGTGCCGGCCCTGCTGTGTACAAAACTCTTGAAGGAGGCATTAATACCCCCCACTGCAAAGACAAGCCTGGACAAACGTAGACAGACATGTAAGTATGGGCTGAGAGGATGCCATGGCCTTGGATGATGGTGCATCCATCACCAATCTTTCCAGTGTTCCTCTTAATGCCCTTTTGCACTGCTCATATCCAGTTCACTTTTTTGTCATCCTCTTGCCCTTCTTCTGGGGTTGTCTCCCTTCTTCCAGAAGCTTCCCTTGGCAATCATCTTAACATCTCCTGCCTTTAGTACCAAAGAAACCCAAGCATGGACCCTGATAGCTGCCAATACTGGAGCATATTTGGAATGTCTATCATAGGGCCTGGGATTAATTCTGGCCTTAGCCCAAACTTCCTGTTTGACTCTAGAAAAGTCACCAAGATTCTTGCCAGGTTGTTATTAACCATGACACAAATATGTACCCCTGGCAATTTGGGATAGTAGAAAGAGTGCAAAGACCAGTGGATGGAGGACCTTTCTCTCTCTCTCTCTCTCTCTCTCTCTCTCTCTCTCTCTCCTTCTCTCTCTCTATAATTCTTTCAAATAAATAAATAAATCTTAGGAAAGAAAACAAAGAGTGCACAGAGTGAAAGCCATTAAATTCAGGTTCCAGGCCTATCATTTACTAGTTTTGTGACTTGAAAAAAGTCACTTAATCTCTCTGAATATAGTTTTATTCTTATTTTTTAAAGATTTATTTATTTGAAAGACAGAAGAGTGACAGAAAGATCTTCCATCTGCTGGTTCCCTTCCAAGTGGCCACACAGCCAGAGTTAGGCCAAGCCAAAGCTAAGAGCCAGGAACCCAATCCAGCACTTGAGTTATTCCTACTGCCTCCCAGGGTCACTAGCAGAGAGCTAGATGGGAAGCAGATCAGCAAGGACTGGAACTTGCACTCTGACATGGAATTCCAGCAACATATGCAGCACCTTGACCCACTGTGCCACAGTGCTGTCCCAGGTACCAGAACTCTTAGAGGCACTAATGTCGAAGTGACCTTTCCTCCTCTCTCTCAGTGACATTATTTCACATGCTATGAAGTGCCTAGAGTAGTGAGATCCAACTGGGGTATGTACTTGTATAATTAAAAAAAAGTTCCTGGTGGCCACATTTTAAAAAGTAAAGAGAAATAAGTGAAATTAATATAAGTGCCATTCTATTTAACCCTATATATTGAAAATACTATTTTAACATGCAATATGAAAAATATATTTTACATTCTTTTTTTATACTGCTGTGTTCTTATGCAAAATAGCCTGTGAAGGCAGAAAGAACCCTTTGTGGAGTGAGTTTTAGTTTTTTAAAGATTTTTTATTTATTTATTTATTTGAGAGTAGAGTTACAGTGAAAGGGAGAGACAGAGAGAAAGGTCTTCCTTCCATTGGTTCACTCCTCAAATGGCCACAATGGCCGGAGCTATGCTGATCCGAAACCAGGAGTCAGGTGCTTCCTCCTGGTCTCCCATGCGAGTGCAGGGGCCCAAGCACTTGGGCCATCCTCCACTGCTTTCCCAGGCCATAGCAGAGAGATGGATTGGAAGAGGAGCAGCGACATGGAATGCTGAAGCTGCAGGTGGAGGATTAACCCACTGCGCCGCTGCGCCAGTCCCGAGTGAATTTTATTTTAAAGTCTAAGGAAGGAGTTGGCTTTATGAAGATTCAGTATCTTATTAACACCGGAGTCCCTATAAGCTTGTTTGCAGAAGGTCAGTCAGTTATCTGGTGTGGGCAGCTGCTGATGCCACAAGGAGAGCCTCACTCTCAGAGACATTCACTGGTTTACCACCAACATATGGTGACCCACTGATTTCTTGATGAATGAGACCTGGTGTTAACTCAATTAACCTTCATAGAAGGAAAGCTTTCATGCATCTGTGGAAAGAGGCTGGGGACTGAAGATGTGCCAGGGAAGCAAGCCCCACCAACAGTGGTCAAGGATTGAAATGGCACTTGTGAAAGTATCATTTCGCCAGTTACAACTGTGACTAGGGGCTAGCATTATGGCGCAGCAGGTTGGGCCATAACCTGTGGCACCAGCATCTCATTTGAGTGCTGGTTCGAGTCCCACCTTCTCCACCTCTGATTCTGCTCCCAATCGATGCACCTGGGAAGGCAGTGAAAGAGGGCCCAAGTGCCCCAGCCCCTGTCACCCACATAGGAGACCCAGACAGAGCCAAAAACTTTTGACAGACTAGAAATGTGTGGCACCCCCAGCAAAGCCCACAGTTCACAGAATCAGAGACCTTCATTAACTGCAAAGTGCAAGGTCAGACTAAGGGGTGTCCCTGAGAGGACACAGTTCAGGGTGGACTTTTGCCATGCTCTGCCAGAGGCTCGCCTGTGTTCTCTCCCAGTGCCACACTGGGCAGAGTCTCCACCAGCCTCCTGGGCAGTTACCATAGCAACCTGGGCCACACCGGCAGAAAAGCACCTGGGAAATGAGTATTTGAAACAGAGATTTCCATCTGCATCGATAACAATGAATCCCACACGGTGTGCATCCAGAGCCTC